CACTGCACTTCAGCCTGGGCAACACAGTGAGACCCTATCTCAAATAAATAAATAACTCTCATTTGAGAGGTACCCCCCATATACCCAGGGGAAGTAAGTATTCTCATCCCTGAAGACAGAGACACAGGAGGCTCCGAACAGGCAGGCCTTGCTAAGCTCCCCCAGCTTACCATTAGCTTGTGCCCGTTGCCCGGTGCTTCTGCACAGCTCTCCACTCTTCATGAAACCAAAACATGAAATACACAAGCTCACCGGTTTCTTTGGGTTCTCATTTCCCTATGAAGGCTCCCAAGTCAAAGAAAACGTATTTTAAAAATGTGTACGCTTTGCTTTTGTCGATCTGTCTTTTGTTATGGGGCCTCGGTCATGAATGTGGTGATGGGTGTGGAAAGCAATCTTTCCTCCCCTACAGGAAAGTCTCTGGCTCTCACACCCAGTCCTCCTCCTCCTCCTCCTCCTCCTCCTCCTCCCTGGTCTATGGAACAGAGAGGAACAGGTTGCACATTACTTAACCAAATTTCAGCTTAGTCACTTTTACTTTTAATAGATGCCAGCAGTTGGTGTTACCACCATGCTGATATAATGGCAGTCACCAAGGGTTCTCACACACAGCCTGCATTCCATCTGACAAAACCCACAGCTGTGGATTGGGTCCCTTCAAGCTAATACAGTGGGAGAGGCACAGAAGAAGAGTGCGGGAACACAGTGAAGAAAAGGTTACGGTGCATCATGCCAGGATCTGGGTTTGCTGATTTTATACTTGCCATCTGCTGATGCACGTCCTTCCACCTTAGTTCAGTAGTCAAGAGGTATTCGTTTTTTCCTTTTAATCTCATTAAATTCAGCAGTGATTTTCCTCTAACCGCTGGTCCCCTACCACCCCAGGTTGAATACTAGTTTCAGTGTTTGACTTACGTGATAAATTGGTAGTTCATAAGGACAACTCCCAAATGTACTCGAGGAAAAGAAAATCACAGGTATAGCTGTTCTGAATAGATGTCCAGAAAATACCAACTTTCTCTGTGACTTGTCAAATTTCTACCAATTTGATAACCCTGTGCTCTAGATGAGGTCATGGGCAAGCTTTCATTTGACAATAAAGTAGGGCTTATCTGCTTTCTTTACACATTGAGAAAATCAACAAGTATATAAGTAGGTTTTTTTTTTTTTTTTCTATTTTTTATAGATACGGGGTTTCACCATGTTGCCCAGGCTAATCTCAAACTCCTGAGCTCAAGTGGTCTGCCCACCTCGGCCTCCCAAAGTGCTGGGATTACAGGCATGAGCCACCGCACCTGGCCCACTGCACTCCCCGTGTGCACACACACATATCCTTAAGGATGCTTTCTTATCAGTGTTTTTTCAAGTTGGTGGGATTTAGTCTTGTAGTTTTACCATAATCATCACCCATTTGGTTTGCAGTAAGTTCCTGACAATCCCTGTAGTTCAGAATATAGAATTTACATCAACACAAATCTAAGTGACTTAAGTAGATTCTGAAACTCCCGATGATCCAAGTAATTCACACATAATAAAAACCATGAACCTGTATTATGTTTCATGCCTGTGACGTCAAGCCTCCCTGTTGACTATCCTCCTTCCTGAAACTTTTTCCACCTGACCTCTGGAAGGCCCTCCCTTGGTTACCTCAGGGGCAGTTCCAAACTTTTATTCTTGAGATAGTGTTTTGCTGTTACCCAGGCTGGAGTGCAGTGGTGTGATCACAGCTCACTGCAGCCTCAACCTCTTGGGCTCAAGCCATCCTCTCAGCTCAGTCTCCTGAGTAGCTGGGACTACAGATGCCTAAATTTTTTTTTAGGTATTGCTACATTGCCCACACTGGTCTCAAACTCCTAAGCTCAAGTGATCCTCTCTTCTCAGCCTCCCAAAGTGCTGGGATTACAGGCATGAGCCCGGTGCCTGGCCACATTTTAGAGACTGGGTCTCCCTATGATGCCCAGGTTAGCCTCAAATAGTCCTCCTGCCTTAGCCTTCTGAGTACAAGTGCAGCGGTGACAGGGGGAGCTCCTCCTGGTTACCTTTGTTGGCTTCTCCTTGCCAACCAATCTCCTGTTGGAGCGCAGTCTATCCTCTCTCCAAATGACCTCATCCAGTATCACAGCTTCTCCTGTCATCTGTGGAGATCTTCCCACTGTCTATAGAGTTCTCCAGCTTAGACTTCTCTGAAGAATCAGCATCTCAAATTTAACCAAATTCTTGACTTCCCATCTCAGTGCCAACTCCTTTCAGATGCTCAGACCAAGATATTTGACATTAAATCCATCCTCACTCAACCCCTCAGTCTACCATGCTAGACTAAGCCACTATCATCTTTGCCTTAACACTGTATTATACACAACTCTATGCTTTTACCCTGCTACCTGAAAGCCAGTGAGCCTTGTAAATGTTAAGTCGTATCATGTATCTCTTCCGCTCAGGTTTTCTTCAGGTCTGGTCTTTCTCCTTTGTGCGCTCACTCTGCTCTACAACCCTTACATCTTCTTGGGTTAGCAAAAGGGCCACTTTGTTCCCAGAATGTATCACATTCCCAGACTGCTGTCTTGGCCTGGAATGGAGTTCTGATACCCACATGGCCTACTTCCACACCTTCATTTGTTTTGAAATGTCACATTACAAGGACCTCCTCTTGCCCCACTCAATTGTTCTCCACACGTTAACAAACCCCAGGGCCGACAGGCTAAAACATGCTTGTTATTACACTTTAGCATCAAAGATAAAATGTTATGAGCTTTCTCATGTGCACATCCTTATTCCTGCCCAAACATCTTGACTCTAGGAATAACCAGAAAAAGTTATGAGACAGTCTTCGAAGTCCTATTTGGAGTCTTGAGTGGTTTATCATGAGGTAAGCAGCTGGAGTTCATCACTTCTGGCTTAAACAGACATGACAAAACGCTAGCCCAACCTTGGTTGGATGTGGATGTTGGGAAAACAGCTAAGAGCACTTCGAGGACAACTAGGAAAATAGGGGCTCTTCTGCAGAACTGACCATTTTCAAAACAAGCTGGAGCAAAGGAGCCCACAAAGCCTCTGAACTGCTGTCTGCTGTTTCAGACTTCCGAGGCCAGTTCACCAATCAGCCTCCATTATCCTGCTTTGCCCAGCTTCGACCACTGCCTGAAAATTACCTTTGTGCTAGTGTTTCAGAGGACAAAAGGCCCTGTAGCTCAGACTCATACTTTTCTCACTAAAATGTCCAAAACCAGAATGCTGAGCCAGGTGCAAAGGCTCACACCTGTAACCCCAACACTTTGGAAGGCTGAAGCTGGAGGATCATGAGGTCAGGAGTTTGAGACCAGCCTGAGCAACATGGCATGACTGTCTACAAAACTATCAGAATACTTAAAATTGTTAACAAGTTTGAAGTTCCCAACATGTATTTCAAATCACGGGGGTTTGGGGGATGTTCAGTGTGTCTGGCTCAGATTTTGGACACTGGGGCAAACTCCAGATTGCCCAATCACTAGATTCACATGTTCAAGCAGACCAGAGCCACTGGCTTGCTTCTAACCTTTAACAAATGTAATCAATGAGTTAAGAGTGGTAGGGACTATTTCTCCTCCCAGGTTGGGCTTGCACTTTAGGAGGCCGAGGTGGGCAGATCTGGAGCTCAGGAGTGGAGACCAGGTCTCTACAAAAATTAGGTGGGCACAGGGGTGTGTGCCAGTAGTCCCAGCAACTAGTGAGGCTGAGGCTGGAAGATGGCTTGAGCCCCGGAGGCAGATGCAGTGAGCCGCTGGTGCCACTGCACTCCAAGCCTGGTGACCAAGCTGTCTCAGGTATTCTCTTCCTGTTTTACCCTGTATTCCTGTATTCAATCTCAGCTGCCACAATCAGACAGACGGAAAGCGCAAGGACTGTTTCTCTTGCATCTGTAGCGGAAACCTTAGCAGCAGACAGTGACTGCTCCAGGTCTGTCAAGTAGATGCATTTCCATATTCATTCTGACAAGTCTTTTCAGACAACATAAAGAGCACTTTTACCCTCTGCCCACCAGCCAGCCCACATTCTGTGTACCTTCATTCTGTTAATGTAAATCAGGGGCTGGCAACCTCGCAGGCCCCAGTGTCAGACACAACTCTGCTCATGCAGCGAAAACAGCCATGTTCCAATAAAACTGGACACAAACTTAGATTCCATCCCACAAAGTATTTTCCCCCGAACTGTTTAAAAATGCAACCACCTTTAAGTGTACAAAACAGGTGGCTGGACAGGCTACTAGTTCCCAGGGAGTTTCACATTCATCCCAAGAGACTTGGCTCTTTATGTTAAATAAGCTGACACAAAGTTGCTTCCAACTGGGTTAGTCTCTCTATTCTCTTGGCGATCTCCTCCAGTTACTACTTCCGCTGCAGATGGTGGAATGGGTACGGCTCCACTTCAGGTGTTGGCGCTGCCATGAGCATGGTCTTTCCCTTTACTGCAACTGACAATCAAAACCTTTGATTCTTTTTTTATATTCCAGTCCCAGAAGTAGTTTCCACTGTAGAAGTTAACTGATGCGTCTTATCCTTTCTAGCAGTAGCTTACCACCAGGCTCTAGCTTCTCCACGAACACTACAGGATGAATTTAGTTTAAATATGTATTAAACTAAAAGGCATTCTCTCAAAATGAGTTTAAATGCATTTTATTTTTAGAGAACCTACATGACATGTTTTTCTTAAAAACAATGCCTCCACTCCAAATAAATCACGGTCAAAATAAATGAAGAGCTCAAGATCACATCAGTCCCATTTGTCTTAAGTCCTGGTGTGTGGATGACAAGCAGAAGCCAGTTATGACGACAGGCGATAGATCCAAAGTAATTGTCAAATTTGTTACTGTAAAAACAAAAATTACGTCACCATTCTTCAAACACTACGTAACACAAATTACATTACCGTAAACATTTCTAGGCTACAGATGTATTCCCCAATTCAATCTGGGCCGCCACAAAGACAGACAGAAAGCGTGGGGATTTCTTTCTTTTGCACCCTAGTGCAAACCAGAAGAACAACAGCCAATTGTTCAAGGTCTATCAGTGGATGCAGAGACCCTTACCACATCAGCAGTAGCTCATTTTCCAGAAGCCTGTGGCATGTGCTACCCACACCCGGCTCTACCAACAAAAACCTCAGATACCACCTGAATAACCCTTTTGGTAAGTCATCTTACACAGTTCTAAGTATTTCTGTCTCTTGTTGACTCTAATCTCGCGTGTTCAGTATAGACTCATGTTTACCTTCTTCCTCATTTACACAGAAGTCTATGAAAGCTAGAATAATGAATGCCTCGGTTTCTGTACAGCTTCCCGAAGTTCCCTGCAGAGCGGACATTCAGTTCTTTACAGTTACTAACACAATTTCCATACCAGTTCAGCAGTCAGCACTATTTACTAAAAGCTGGCACTGGCAGTAGCCTTTCAATAATCAGCTGCCAATTATCAGTAAACCAAAGTAAAAAAACACTGATGCGAATTAATCCGTATGTACATAGCAAAACATGATGAAGTGAAAGTAAGGCCTACCTTTGAGGTCTACCTAGAGGACAATCAATGGTGTTCTCCATCTTCCTCAGCATCTAAACTATTTCTTGGAGATAGACCCTCATTCTGTCGCCCAGGCTCCCGTGCAGTGGTGGGATCTCAGCTCACTGCAACCCTCCCAAGTTCTCCTGCCTCAGCCTCCCGACTGGCTGGGATTACAGATGCCTGCCACCATGCGTGGCTAATTTTTTTGTTTTTCTGGTCTCAACTCCTGACCTTGGTGATCCACTCACCTTGGCCTCCCAAAGTGCTGGGATTACAGGTGTGAGCTACCAAGCCCTGCCTACACTGTGCTTTATAATGCCCCATCTGCACGCAAGTATTTCCACAAATAAGATTCTAAGCCTTTTTATACCCTAAGAATCTTTTTACACATGAAACGTTCTATCCCAGTGGCACAAAACTGGAATCACATCTAAAATATCTTTTTTACATTACTGATTTTAACCCACTCCTTTGTACTTACACATTTTTCCATTTCTAAACCATCCTTAAAGAAAATCATATATGGGGTCACACCATCCTCACGGTAGTCCAATAGAGCAACCATGCCATCTGGATTCATGTTTTCACCAATAAAGAACTTGGGAAGCAAACAAAACACCTAGAATTAGACCATTACATAGAAATACATGCCATTCAAAACTAACTACAATACAAAATCAGGAGAATTCCAGTACCCAAAAGCTCTGATTCCCACTTACCATAATCATTTGTTCACTCAATCAGGCACCTTACTAGTGACCTTTTAAGTAAGAGTACAGAGCAATACAGCAACACTAGGCTTTACGGAAACCTTTACTTTCTCAGACCCTGAAGTGCGCTGATACAGTCAAGCACAATTGCAACACAAGGCTGACAGTGACAGAACGTATCATACAGTTTGGAAGTATCTTATGGCCAGGGATACATGAAGTTGGATAAACGAAAGCCACGGACATTTTCCAGTAGAACAAGTTCAGATACATCAGGAGGACCAGTAGCAATAAGACACATTAGAACTGTAAACAGAAAGCTGAACACAGGAGGTTAAGCAATTTTCAAGAAGAAAAACTGAAGAAATGTCATCTGGCAAAGAAGTTTTCCATCGGAACGCAGAATTTGAAAACACTTAAGAGCTGAGAAAGCTACTTTCTACACCTGGAATACTAGTATAGAATTGAAGATTAATGAACTTAATTTTTGCTCTTGCAGTGAAAATTGTACAATCCTTTGATCCAAACACTTAAGGCATTTACCTGGTAGTTTTTGAAATTAGCAAGGATGTGCTTGATTTGTTCGGCAGCCCCCGTCATAAAAGGTTTTACTCTTTCTGGTCTCTGTTCTTCAAGTTTGCCTTTGATTCTAAAACGACATTTCATTAACTGGTTAAACTATTGAATTTTCAATTAAATCAATTTTTAAAGTAAAAAAAAAATACCCAAGCTTAAAAAAAATAAAAACATTGAAAAAGGCAACCAGCTGTTAAGAAATTACTAATTCAGCTGGGCGCGGTGGCTCAAGCCTGTAATCCCAGCACCTGTTCCCATAAGTCATCTTTCCAGAATGTTCACATTTCTGACATTTCTTCTTGTTTATTTTCAAAGTACTATTCTAACTCTAAACGGAGCCAGACTGCAGGCTTCAGTATGCTCACAGAGAAAAGCAACCACTCTTGTCAGTGAACTCATTAATAAAAGAGGCAAGTATATTCCCTGCTCAAAAGAACCTCAAAAGTTACCACATCTTTAAATCCCTTAAGATTCTAGACATCAGCTAGGTGCTGCCTTACGATTTCATGTAATCTTTGATGTACTTCTTGTAGGCTTCTTTTGTGAAACTTGTTTCCTGCAGGTGATGGTTCATGACAATATCGACACCAGTGACTACTGTGCTTTCGGTACCTTCGCCCTCGGGGCCTTCGGCGGAGGCATTTCCACCGATGAGCGAGTCATCAATGTTACCTTCTGTCCTACTGACCATCTGCATTAACAAAAAGCAGTACAGTTGCAAAAGAAAACAAACGCATCTTCAAAGCACCTTCCACGCCAATAGTCAGACACATTCTTGGTTTTTGATGAAAATCAAAAAAGCAGCATTTCGGGAATCAAGTTGTGACCTGTGGATTTCCCGAAACGACCTAACTTGAAAGAGTTGTCCGTTGTTGGCCAGAACAAAATGGGATCATTAAAAAGTTGTTTCCAGCTGCTGGCATCAGGGACCTCGGGTTGGTAAGTAGGGGCGGGGTAAACACCAAAGGGACTGGGCTCCTAAACCGGAGACAGCGTGTCCCGGACAACCCCGGGAGGAGGATGGGCGCCGAGGCGGCGGGCCTATTTCCAGGCTCAGCTCCGCCTCCAGTTTTCTAGAAAAACCCGAGCCCGGAAAGAGCGTCTCCTCCGCCAGGAGGCGGCGGGGAGGATTGCACAACCTCAGGCGGGGGAGCGGCGGAAACCCGAGCCTGCCCGGGCGGCCCGCCCCGACCTCCCCCACGCGCAGGCCCGACCGACTCACCTTCCCCTCCACCTCCAGGCACAGCCCGTCCGCGATCTCCCGGATCTTGTAGATGTCAGAGAACATCTCATCGTCTGCCGAATACACAGAGCCGCCCGTCACCGCAGGCCCCGAGCCGGCGCCGCCATTTCCCGCATTTCCCGCGCCGGCGGCCGCACGCGGCGTCCGTCCCTCGCGAGGGCTCCAGAGCCGAGCGCGAGCCCCGGTACCGATCCCTGCGCACTCGGTTAAGGTCGCAGGCATCCCCTGGGCCCGGACGGCTGCGCTTTCCCCACCCCCCACCCGCACCCCAGGACCCCGTGTGCGGCAGTAAGGGTAGTGCAGTGAGGACTCACGGCTGATGAGATCCCGGTAGATAATCATGATGGCGGCTGACGGGAGAGGACGGCGGCGCTAGCTTAGCAGGAGCCCGACGCTCGGAACGAGCGCTGTGCAGCCGAAGCGGCGCGAGGGGGGAGGGGGGAACGGGCGGAAAAGGCCGACTCAGCCGCTCCCCAACCTCATATAGAGGGCACGTCTCTTACGTCATCGTTCGCTGCGCCTCCGGAAGCGACGCAGCGGTGACGTGGCACGCAGAGCCGCGCGGGGGCGGGGCCACAGCGGAAGCGAGTCGGGGAAGCGAGCATCCGGGGACTTGAGGTGGAGGCACCAGACTGTTCCACTGGGCACGCGAGGTGCTGGTGGGTGGGGGGGGGAATGGGGGCGGGGAGGTGCGCGCGCAGCCGGGGAGGAGGTAAGTTCTCGGGGCACTCCCGAGCCCTGGGTGGGCGGAGCAGGGGAAGCGGGGTCTGATAGGCCCTGCCCCTCCCCACGCACGGGCCCACCCGGAGTGGTGCTGGGGTCTGGGTGGGGCTCGGGTGAAATCTCTCTAAACTTTCTCCCTCGCGTCGTTGAGCTCAGGTTCCACCGTTTTCTGGGAACGTTTCATTTAGGGAGGGTTGTGCTCTCTGGCCTGGGGGAGACCTCGGAGCTGCCCAGGGCCTCTGAGAACTTTGCAGCGTCCGCCCGGGGCTGCCCCAGCTGGAGTTTTCGGACGCCTTTGTGGGGCACAGCTGAGTCCGGGTGGTGGGCCCCAAGTCATCCCGCTGGGGCCCTGGGGATACTTGTGGAGGCGCAGGGTCTGTGGGGGGGGACCCGGGAGAAGGGAAGCTGTCACGGGAGTGTGCACAAGGTTTCCGCGTGTTCCGGTTTTGCCCCGCAGCTGAAAGCTGGGGCGTTCTGTGGCGGACAGCTGCGGAGCTGGCTCTCCCTTCGCTGCTTCGCAGTTGGGCTTGGAAAAGTACGTTGTCACTTTAAGATGAAGTTGAAATTTTATCCCTGGTGCCAGAGGGTCAAACAAAGGGAGCTTCTCACCTGCCCCACCTTTCTTCGCAGGAGTTGACACCCAGTCACTAAGTATTAAAACAGGCCCAGCATGGTAGCTCATGCCTGTAACAGCACTTTGGGAGGCGACTACTGAAACCCTGTCTCTACACAGGAACCAACTTTTTAAATGGACTGGGTGCGGTGGTGCCTGCCTGTAATACCAGCTATTAGGGAGGCTGGAGCCCGGGAGTCGGAGGTTACACTGAGCTGTGATTGCGCCACCGCGCTCCAGCCTCGGTGATAGAGCAAGACTGGCTCGAAAACAAAACATTGCTTCCGTATTCAGTCGCATCCTCACGTCTTTGGCATAAGGCACAGATGTATGCCCGTACGAAGCGTGAAAGCTTGTTCCATTTCGCAGGTATGGCCTCTGTATCCCTTAGAACCAGGATTTGCACGGAGGTCCCAATTGTGAACAAGTTTGATCCAGTCTTACGCTCATAAAAGTGTTCATTCTAGTAAACTCAGAGCATCAGACAATTATAGTACATGGACAGTTGTTCATAAAGCCAATAATAGAGCATTTAGCTGAGTAAGAATGCAACCCATGGGAAAGAGCGGGACACAGGACGGCGATTGGAATGATGGAGAAGTCCAATGGAAGAGCCAAGAAATGGACCTCCTTAGGATAGGGATCGTGGATGGAAAACTCCAGAGGACATGGGCAACTGGGAGGAAGCTAAAGATGGGATCTGAAAATAAATGGATATCTTCTGACACGTGGTCAGTGAGGGCTCCCTGAAACCTCATTTCTGGAATGAATGAGATGATTGTCACACATTAACATTGTGTGAACGTATCTTTTTCCTGATGTAGCACAGTATAATTATTTTCCTCCGTTTTTTTTTTTTTGAGACGGAGTTTCGCTGTTGTTACCCAGACTGGAGTGCAATGGCGCGATCTCAGCTCACCGCAACCTCCACCTCCTGAGTTCGGGCAATTCTCCTGCCTCAGCCTCCTGAGTAGCTGGGATTACAGGCAGGCGCCACCATGCCCAGCTAATTTTTTGTATTTTTAGTAGATTTCACCAGGATGGTCTCGATTTCTTGACCTCGTGATCCACCCGCCTTGGCCTCCCAAAGTGCTGGGATTATAGGCGTGAGCCACCGCGTCCGGCCCATTTTCCTCAGTTTTCATATTTCCAAACTCTTCAGAATACTGTCATTGATCCATGCAGTACCCTCAAACATTACTCTCAACTATCCAGTCTCATATTCAGGTCAAAACATTTCTTCAAGTTTTTTTTTCCAAGCCAAACTGTATCCAGCTTTATTAAAGATGCTTTCCATAAACAATCATGGTATTTCAGGCAGGGCATGGGCAGACAATTGTTAACAGTATACAACAACTTTCAAACTCCCTTCTTTGATGGACTACCCAAAATCAGAAAGCCACTATGAAACCCCACTGAAGTCTTCATCTGATGCTCTGAACAGGGAAAGTTTAGAGGGAGGGTTGACAGTTCACATTTAGCATGCTGTTTAACAACTTTTCACGAGCCGACCCTGACTTTCAGGAAGTGAAATGAAAACGGCAGAATTTATCTGAAGATCCACAATCTAGAGATGGAATCACTGCTCTTTTGACAGGTGCCAGCTCAGTGGCATCACTGCCAAGTCCAGATTGCCCGACACACAGGTAACCAATGACTGGGGTCAGGTCCCGGGAGATGTCTGGGCTTAAGGGAGTTAAGTCTATGCGGAAAGACGGAAAGGGAGAAGAGGACATAAAAAGGAATTTGTTTTTCCATACCACAGGCTTTTGTGTGCCACGGTGGCCATGTGTGTCAAAGTCAGGGAATCCTTCCTCCTGGGAGCCCAGAGGAAGTCTCTCAAAACTAGAAGGGAAAGGCGTTTCCCCACATCAATCCAGCTTTGGAGACATTCTGTCAGTGACATCTGCCCCTTCCCCCAAAACAATGAAGCGTTCTGTAAAAAAAAAAAAAAGTAAAACAAAATTCTGCATTTTTATAAAACTTGATAAAAAATAGTATTTCAAACTGTACAGTGACCAGAAGTACACAGTTATCAAAACGCTCACACTTCACTCGGCGTCTCCAGTGCCTTCGGCTTCCTGCGCTGTCTGTTTGGGCATCTCCCTTTCCTGCAGGGTTATTCCCTTTCTGCCAGCATCAGCTTTTCCCTCTTTCCCTTTGGGTACCTTCTCTCCCTTCTTCGCAGGGGCCTCTTTAGGCGTGGGCTCTGGCTTTGGAGGAGCAGGTTTAGCGGACAGCCTCGCAGACCTTCTCTGTGGTTCGTCCTTCACCCTGGCTTCATCTCCTTAGTGTCCCCTTCAGCCTTTCTCTTGGGCATGGTGGTGACGGTGGCGGGACGTAGGTGCTGGGCGCCGGGTGCAGTGGCGCGTGGGCTTCGGTCGGTCCGGGGGACGTTCTCACCTCTTCTTCTTCACACTGCTCCCAAGTTTTATAAAAATATAGTTGTGGTGAAAAACTGTACTGAAGTTAGAGTCAAGGCACCTTAGATTAAAATCTTGCCTTTGGCCAGGAGCGGTGGTTCACACCTGTAATCCCAGCACTTTGGGAGGCCGAGGCAGGAGTTCAGGAGATCAGGAGTTCAAGACCAGCCTGGCCAACACAGTGAAACTTCATCTCTGCTAAAAATACATAAATTAGCCGAGCCTGGTGGCAGGCACCTGTAATCCCAGCTACTCGGGAGGCTAAGGCAGGAGAATCACTTAAACCCCGTAGGCGGAGGGTGCAGTGAACCGAGATCACACCACAGCACTCCTGCTTGGGCAAGGGAGCGAGACTCTGTCTCAAACGACAACAGCAACAACAACTTTATTGCTAAGATTGCAGGCTCTGGAAATAAAAGATCTTGAACGCCCACCCATAAGAATAAACAGACAGTTGAGACATAGTTTAGTGAACAGCGAAGAGCTTTATTTAAAATGAAATAAACTAGAATACAAAAGAAAAATCACATATAAAGGTGAGTCACAGTAAAGGTGAGTATTATTTTGTGAAACTTGTTTTATTATTATTTTTTATTTTTTGAGACTGAGTCTCACTCTGTTGCCCAGGCTGACGTGCAGTGGGGCCATCTTGGCTCACTGCAACCTCCACCTCCCTGGGAAGCAATTCTCCTGCCTCAGCCTCCCGAGTAGCTGGGATTACAGGTGCCTGCCACCAGCCTTGGCTAATTTTTGTATTTTTAGCAGAGATGAAGTTTCACTGTGTTGCCCGGGTAATTTTTTTTGTATTTTTACTAGAGACGGTGTTTCACCAGGTTGGCCAGACTGGTCTTGAATTCCTGACCTCGGGCAATTCACCTGCCTTGGCCTCCCAAAGTGCTGGGCACTACCAGCCTGGGTGACAGAGTGAGACTTGTCTCAAAAAGAAAAAGAAAAAACGGGCCAGGCATGGTGGTTCACGCCTGTAATCCCAGCACTTTGGGAGGCCGAGGTGGGCAGATCACGAAATCAGGAGTTCAAGACCAGTCTGACCAATATGGTAAAACCCCGTCTCTACTAAAAATACGAAAATTAGCTGGGCATGGTGGCACGTGCCTGCTGAGGCAGGAGAATCGCTTGAACCTGGGAGGTGAAGGTTGCAGTGAACCAAGATTGCACCACTGCATTCCAGCCTGGGTGACAGAGTGAGACTCTGTCTCAAAAAAAGAGAAAAAAGAAACAGTGCCTAGTAGACAGCCAGTCAATAGTTGCCAAATGGATGAACTGCAGACCAGGACTGATGATAGTAACTGGGGTTTGTTTGCACCATGTTCCAACACAGCAACACTCTGAGTTAGTCAAGTGTGTGTAATCAGATTTTCTGACTTTTTTTTTGCAGTACCATTGACTGAAAAATAAAGATGGATGAACAGTAGCTAGTGGCCAGAGACGCTGTTTGGTAAGTTAACATAGAAAAGAGGCCGAGTGTGGTGGCTCACACCTGCAATCCCAGCACTTTGGGAGGCCAAGGTGGGAGGATCACCTGAGGTCAGGAGTTTGAGACCAGCCTGGCTAACATGGTGAAACCCTGTCTCTACTAAAAATACAAAAATTAGCTAGATGTAGTGGCATGCATCTGTAGTCCCAGCTACTCAGGAGGCTGAGGCAGGAGATTTGCTTGAACCCAGGAAGTGGAGGTTGCAGTGAGCTGGCATCATGCAGTGGAGGCCACTGCACTCCAGCCTAGATGATAGAGTGAGTCTTCGTCTCAAAAAAAAAAAAAACACACCAAAACCCAAAAAACAAACAAACATAGAAAAGAGCTCTCTCTTCCCTGGGAGGAGGAAAAGTGGCCTAAGACATCGTTAAATCAAAAAGCAAGTTATAGAACTGCACAACATGTACAGCACTCTTACCTATCGCGCAGATACACACGAGAAAAAACAACATACTGCTCTACATATGTGCATTACTTACAAAAGCAGACATGAGAATCTAGAAGGTTACGTATCAAACTCACAACAGTGGCTAATTCTGGGAGGAGGCTGGGGAAGAGAGTGGCCGAGGGGAACTGCAGCATCAATTGCGATGCTCGCGCATTTGCCCCAATAGTGTTTCACATTTAATATCCAAAATGTTCTTTTCTCATAGATACCAAACGTAATAATGCAAATAAAGTATGGGGAAGTATTTATATTATATATAGACAATATATGAGAAAAATGCACTGAAGAAATAAGCATATATACCCGAAACAAGCAAAGGGTGGGCCACGTCTAAATTGGCCCAGCGCCATGGCTCAGGCCTGTAATCCCAGCACGTTGGGAGGCTGAGGCCAGAGGATAGCTTGAGCCCAGGGTTTCAAGAATGTAGCAAGACCCACCTCTACTTTTTTTTTTCTTGAGAGAGAGTCTTGTTCTGTCGCCCAGGCTGGAGTGCAGTGGTGTGATCTCAGCTCACTGCAGCCTCCACCTCCCCAGTTCAAGCAATTCTCCTGCTTCAGCCTCCCAGGTAGTTGGGATTACAGGTGCATGCCACCACGCATGGCTAATTTTTTAATTTGTATTTGTATTTTTTATTATTATTATTTTTTGAGACAGAGTCTCACTCTGTCGCCAGGCGCCAGGCTGGAGTGCAGTGGCACAATCTTGGCTCACTGCAACCTCCGCCTCCAGAGTCAGCCACCCAAGTAGCTGGGACTACAGGCATGTGCCACTACGCCCAGCTAATTTTTGTATTTTTAGTAGAGACAGGGTTTCACCATGTTGGCCAGGATGGTCTCGATCTCTTGCCCTCGTGATCCGCCCACCTCGGCCTCCCAAAGTGCTGGGATTACAGGCTTAAGCCACCGCGCCTGGCCTTTTTATTTTTTTTGAGATGGAGTTTTGCTCTGTTGCCCAGGTTGAAGTGCAGTGGCGCAATCTCAGCTCACTGCAACCTCTGCCTTCTGGGTTGAAATGATTCTCCTGCCTCAGCCTCCCAAGTAGCTGGGACTACAGGTATGCACTACCACGCCCAGCTAATTTTTGTATTTTTAGTAGAGATGGGATTTCACCATCTTGACCAGGATGATCTCAATCTCCTGACCTCATGATCGGCCCACCTCAGCCTCCCAAAGTGTTGGGATTACAGGTGTGAGCCACCGAGCCCAGCCTAATTTTTGTACTTTTGGGCCGGGAGCGGTGGCTCCCGCCTGTAATCCCAGCACTTTGAGAGGCTGAGGCGGGTGGATCATGAGGTCAAGAGATCAAGATCATCCTGGTCAACATGGTGAAACCCCGTCTCTACTAAAAACACAAAAAAATTAGCTGGGCATGGTGGCACGTGCCTGTAATCCCAGCTACTTGGGAGGCTGAGGCAGGAGAATTGCCTGAACCCAGGAGGCGGAGGTTGCGGTGAGCTGAGATCGCGCCATTGCACTCCAGCCTGAGTAACAAGAGCGAAACTCCATCTCAAAAAAAAAAAAAAAATTTTTGTACTTCTAGTAGAGATGGGGTTTCACCATGTTGGCCAGGCTGGTTTTGAACTCCTGACTTCAAGTGATCTACCTGCCTTGGCCTCCCAAAGTGTTTTGGGATTACAGGCGTGAGCCACCACACCTGGCCAAGGCTTGTTCCTTAAATCCATCTAGTTTCCGCGTCTAGGGCTTTATGAACAGGGCAGCTTTTGTTTTTAGTTGGAAAGTTGTCGCCAAATATTGGAGGAAATTATGAGAATTAAGGAACCAGCCTAGTCTACAGGTAGATAACAAAAACTTAAAAACAATGCACAGGGTTATAGTTAATGATTGGTGTGTTAGAGTTTTTCCTTAGAAACAACTTTTTCTCTCTACAGTGCTCATATAGGAATCTGATTTAAAAACATGTTGAGGCTAGGAAGCCAAACCAAGACAGCTTTTTTTCTGAGACATGGTCTCACTCTGTTGCCCAGGCCACAGTGCAGTGGGACTGCAGCCTTAACTGCTAGGCTGACGCCGTCCTCCCACCTCAGCCTCCCAAGTAGCTGGGACTACAGGAGGGTGCCACGCCACCTAATTAAATTAATTAATTAATTAATTATATTTATTATTATTTTTCTGAGATGGAGTCTCACTTTGTCGCCCAGCCTGGAGTGCAGTGGTGCGATCTCAGCTCACTACAACCTCTGCCTCCTGGGTTCAAGGGATTTTCCTGCCTCAGCCTCCCAAGTAGCTGGACTTACAGGTGCACACCACCACACCCAGCTAATTTTTGTATTTTTTAGTAGAGATGGGATTTCACCATGTTGGTCAGGCTGATCTCGAACTGGTGACCTCAGGTAATCTACCCTCCTTGGCCTCCCAAAGTGCTGGGATTACAGGCATGAGCCGCTGTGCCCAGCTTATTTATTTTTCATTTATTTTGAGATAAAGTCTCACTCCTGTTGCCCAGGCTGGACTGCAATGGCGTGATCTCAGCTCACTGCAACCTCTGCCTCCTGGGTTCAAGTGATTCTTTTGCCTCAGCCTCTCGAGTAGCTGGGACTAGAGGCATGGGCCACCACACCCCACCAATTTTTGTATTTTTAGTAGAGAGATGGGGTTTCACCATGTTGGTCAGGCTGATCTCGATCTCCTGACCTCAGATGATACACCCACCTTGGCCTCTAAAGTGCTGGGGTTACAGGAGTGAGCCACCACGCCTGGCCTATTTTTAAAATAAAATGAAAATTGAGTTGGGAGTCTGGCTCTGTTGCCCAGGATGGTCTTGTGCTCTTGGCCTCATCCTCCGCACTCCACCCACCAAAGCACAGGGTTACAGGTGGAGCCACCATATCTGATCCTTCTGGTGCATTTTGAAGGTAGAGACTGTAGGCCAGATTTGCTGATGGATTAATGTGGGGCATGTGGCAAGTTAACCACTCCCTTTTCTTCCCTTCCCTTCCCCTCCCCTTTCCCTTCCCCTTCTCTCTCCTCCTCCCTGTCCCCCTTTCCTCCCCTTCGTTTTGTATTTTGAGATAGACTCTTACTCTGTCACCCAGGCTGTAGGACAGTGGTACAATCTCAGCTCACTGCAACCTCCACCTCTTGGGTTCAAGTGATTCTCCTGCCTCAGCCTCCCGGGTAGTTGGGATTACAGGTATATACCACCATGATTGGCTAATTTTTGTTTGTTTTTTTTTTTAGTAGAGATGGGGTTTTGCCATGTTGGTCAGGCTAGTCTTGAACTCCTGGCCTCAAATGATCCACCAGCCTTGGCCTCCCGAAGTGCTGGGATTACAGGCGTGAGCTCCTGTGCCTGGGCCACACTCTTTTGCTTAAGGCACTTTCTTCTTCCTTTGAAAATACATCCTGTGGTTTCCGTCCTCCCTCACTGGCCTCTTCTCTCAGACTCTTCTGCCAGCTCTACTCCAGGCGCCTTGAAATGCCCCAGACCTCTGCGTGGGGAGTCTTTTATGCCACACCCTTCCTAGGTGACGTCATCTGGCCCTAGGTTTTCAGGGTGAGTCACTGTGCCGGTGACGCCCAGATTCCTACCTCCAGCCCTGGTTTCTTCCAAGTGCTCCAGATTCACATACTTAACCTGCTTTCTTGATGTCCCTTCGTGGATGTCAAACAGGCATCTCAAAAGTCAACTCTTGATCCTCTCCCCTGCTCCAATCTTCCCCATCTCAGTAAATGCATTCTATTCCTCTGGTTGCATAGGCTTCAAACCTAGGAGTCATCGTCGAATAGACCCTCTTTCTTGGCTCCTCGGCTGAGCTTTCAATAAGTCCTGTCACTGAGCCCATCCGCACATACTTAAAATCCATCCTCCTCTTGCCGGCTCGGCTGCACCTTCTGACTGAAGTTGTCAGCACTGTTCTCTGGACCTCTGCTCTAACAGCTCTTCCTGTTTCTGCTCCTGCTCTAGAGTCCATCCTCCTCCTCCCTCTGGAGAGAGGCTTCTCTGACCACCCCCTGCTATTACAGGCTGGCATGCTCTTGTAGGTTTGCTTGTCTATTTCTCTCTTTTCCGCCTCCACCAGAAGGCAGAGGTTCTGGCTGTCTGGTTCCGTGCTGCATTTTCAGAGCCTAGAACAGTGCCTGGCACACGGCACATGATGAGGAAATGAGAGCAAAGCAGAGTCAGAATCTGAGAACGTTCTCTGTCTGCCTCGGGGCTAGAGGAACTCTTCCCTTTTATTTTACCTCCATGCTTCTGCTCCGCTGTCCTTCCTGTTTCTTGGCTTCCTCAGTGTTTGCTTTGCCATGGCGCCATCTTGGTCCCATGTCTCGTGTTCCGCTCAGCTCAAAGCAGTCCACGGGCTCAACTCTCCATGTCCCAGGAAGGGAAAACCCACTTTGCTTGGGTCAAGTGTCCATTTTCCATCCCTCCGTCCCCACCCCTAGCAAAGGCTGGGGGCTATGGGGAGAAGGAAGCCAAAAGTGTCCCTGGCCACCAGCAGAAGGGGGCTCTCCAGAGGCAAGCCCATCCCGCGCTCCTTTGAGTAAGTGCCAATCACAGAGGTGGACCCTGACTTGCAAAGCTGAGGACCAGCTTCCTGTCAGTGGTAACCCTGAGCAGCCAGCAGCAGCTTCTGTCTGCAACATCTCCACATGGGCACTTCCTAACTTCCAAAAGATAAGCGCTCGTCCTTCCGAGGAGGTCCTGATGTCAGGAGTAGCCAAGAGGGCAGTCTTGGTCTGTGAGGAGGTGGCCCTTCCACTCCATACAGCCCTTCCCAGGGTGTTCCTGTATCCTGGGGTCTGCTCGTGGCGCCAGCAAGCAGGGATTCCTCGGGAGCCCCCTCAGCCCTCCCGCCCACTGCTGTCCTCTCTCCCTGCCCCTCTGATTTGTTCACGTGGTAAGCCGTGTGTGTCGCGGTGTCTGTCAGATCTGCCCCTTTTCTCGGGAGCCCCCTCAGCCCTCCCGCCCACTGCTGTCCTCTCTCCCTGCCCCTCTGATTTGTTCACGTGGTAAGCCGTGTGTGTCGCGGTGTCTGTCAGATCTGCCCCTTTTCTCGGGAGCCCCCTCAGCCCTCCCGCCCACTGCTGTCCTCTCTCCCTGCCCCTCTGATTTGTTCACGTGGTAAGCCGTGTATGTCGCGGTGTCTGTCAGATCTGCCCCTATTCTCTGAGTCCTTTCAGGACTTTGCCGTTGACATTCCGTGATTCACAGTATTTTGCGTAGATGTCAGTTTTTCCTCATCTCTCCCCTGCCGCCCCTGTGGGTTCTCTCAGCCTGACGTCTTTCATCTCTAATTCTGGAAACTAACCTCCATTCTGTCTTTGAATATCACCTTCCCTCCATATTTCCCCTTTCCTTTTTCAGCTCCTATTACCTGGATATTAACACTTCTGTGTCTGTCCTTCATGATTCTAACTTTTCAAAATATTTCTTTTCTTTTTTCATCCTTTCCTCCCTATCAAAATGTCTCAAACTGATCTTTCATTTTTGCTAATTCTTTTCTTGGCTGAGTCAGTGTACTCCAGGAATTCTGTTGTGTGTGTCAATCTTACATTTTTTATCCTGATCTTTCCACTTGAGTCTTCTGTTTGCTCTGTTGTTTCACTCGTTCCAAACCTCTGGCCTCCCCAGAGACTCTACATCCTCTTCTCCATCTGTTCTCTCTCTAGATGCTCTGGGTGATTCGGAGGGGGAAGCCCGGAGCCCTGAGCTAGTCTGGCATGGAGGGAGGAATGGGAAGCAGTGTCCCATTTGAGGAGGCAGGTTTACAGCCGGCTTCTGTAATCTAGCTGTTTTTTTTGTTTGCTAAATCTCTGATAGTTGAAGTGTGGTTTGTCCGCCAGTGATCTCAGCACCACCACGGAGCTTGTTAGAAATGCGGCATCCCAGCCCCATCGCAGCCCTCCTGAGTCAGACGCTGCTGCCTCACCAGGCCCCCAGCGGAGTCACATGTTCATGCAAGTTTCAGGAGCCCAATTCTACAATGAAATATGCTTTTATGGCCGGGCGCGGTGACTCACATCTGTAATCCCAGCACTTTGAGAAGCTGAGGTGAGCGGATCACCTGATATTGGGAGTTCAAGATCAGCCTGACCAATATGGAGAAACCTCATCTCTACTAAAAATAAAAAAAAATTAGCTGGACATAGTATCGCATGCCTGTAATCCCAGCTACTCGGGAAGCTGAGGCAGGAGAATTGCTTGAACCTGGGAGGTGGAGGTTGCAGTGAGCTGAGGTTGTGCCACTGCATTCCAGCCTGGGCAACAAGAGCAAAACTCCATCTCAAAAATAAATAAAATAAAATACAATTTTATAATTAGGAAAAGGATAGTTTCTTTGAAATAGTAGGACTTCCCCAATGAGTCAGCTACCTGTATTTCTGGTTTGTTGGGCTGGACGCCAGAGACCATTCTGCATAGAATTGTACCTCCTTGACCTGGGCGTTAGGGTGAGGATTCCTCTTCCCTTCTCCCCACCTTAGAGACAAAATCCTCTTAAACATACCCGGCAGCAGGCCGGGCGCGGCAGCTCACCCTTGTAATCCCAGCACTTTGGGAGGCTGAGGCAGGTAGCTCACTGGAGGTCAGGAGTTCGACAGCAACCTGGCCAACATGGTGAAACCCCATCTTTACTAAAAATACAAAAGTTAGCTGTGGGTAGGAGCGTGTGCCTGTAATTCCAGCTATTCGGGAGGCTTAGGCAGGAGAATTGCTTGAACCCAGGAGGCAGAGGTTGTTGAGCCGAGATCGTGTCACTACACTCCAGCCTGAGCTAAAGAGTGAGAATCTGTCTCAGAAAACAGCCTGAGCAACAAGAGCAAAACTCCACCTAAAAAACAAACAAGTAAAAAAACCAAAAAGTTAACCTAGCATGGTGGCAGGTGCCTGTAATTCCAGCTACTCAGGAGGCTGAGGGAGAGAATTGCTTGAACCTGGATGGCAGAGGTTGCAATGAGCCTAGATCGCGCCACTGCACGCCAGCCTGGGTGACAGAGTAAGACGCTGTCTCAAAAAAAAAAAAAAAAAATGTAGCCAGGTGTGCTGGCTCATACCTGTAGTGACAGCTACCTGAGAGTCTGATGTGAAAGGATCACCTGAGCCGGGAGGTCGAGACCGCATGAGCCTGCAGTGATCCGTGATGACTCAACAGGGTGAGTGAGCTCGTGTGCAGATGCCCAGAAGCCTTTGAGAGAGGGAGGCCACTCAGGAGGGGTGGGGGGAGCTCAGGCATTGTAGTCATATTCTTATTCTCATTTCCTGCTGTGGTTTTTTTAAATCTCTCTCTGCCGTTTCCCTTGATTTCGCCCATCTCTTCTCTTTCTACCGTATTGTCTACCCCCCCCCCCCCGCCAAAGCATTGTGATTTCAGCAATCATTTATCTCTATAATCCCATGATAATAAAATGTCCTCATTAATTAATATGCTGATTTAAACTTTTTTCTCTCACATCTCTTTTGAGTGCTTGAAAATTGCTGCCAGATATGTTGTTTGTTTGTTTATTTTTATTTATTTATTTTGAGGTGCAGTCTTGCTCTGTCGCCCAGGCTGGAGTGCTGTGGCACAATCTTGGCTCACTGCAACCTCCACCTCCTGGGTTCAAGCAATTCTCCTGCCTCAGCCTCCCGAGTAGCTGGGACTACAGGTGCCTGTCACCATGCGTGGCTGATTTTTGTATTTTTAGTAGAAACGGGGTTTCACCATGCTGGCCAGGCTGATCTTGAACTCCTAACCTCACGATCCACCTGCCTCAGTCTCCCAAAGTGCTTACAGGTGTGAGCCACCACGCCCAGGCACCTGCCACCTGCCACCCGCCACCTGCTAGTGTAGAGAAATGAGTAGACTTAGACAAGCACATGGGCTTCCTCTATAGCAGCCTAGACGTTGACACTGAGACTCCACGAGTCTGGGCCACTTCCTCCCTCAAGTGTGAAAGGAAAATAAATCATGGGACCCCAAAATCACTAAGCCAAGGGAGAAGGCAAGCTGAGAACTTTCAGGCAAACCTGCCTCCCATTTTATCTCCTAAATAAGATAGCTACAAAGAACTTTAAAAAGCAGCCAGGCACGGTGGCTCATGCCTGTAATCTCAGCACTTTGGGAGGCTGAAGCGGGTGGATCACCTGAAGTTGGGAGTTCGAGACCAGCCTGACCAACATGGAGAAACTCCGTCTCTATTAAAAATACAAAATTAGCTGGGCGTGGTGGCACATGCATGTAATCCCAGCTACTGGGAGGCTGAGGCAGGAGAATTGCTTGAACCCAGGCGGTGGAGGTTGTGGTGAGCCAAGATCGCGCCACTGCACTCCAGCCTGGCAACAAGACTGAAGCTCTGTCTCAAAAAAAGAAAAAAAAAAGCCACTTAACTTTCTCATAATTTGCCCACAAGGAAATTCCTAATTCTACAAGGGAGGGCTAATCAGAGGCTTGAAAGAATGCAATTGTTAGATCTTATCCACCTGTGAGCTGGAAGGTCGCGTTGTCTCACCTTTCTGGACTGAACCAGTGTTCATCGTACACATACTGATTGATGCCTTGTGTCTCCCTAAAATGTATAAAACCAACTGTGCCCTCACCACTTAGTGCACAGGTCGTCAGAACTTCCTGAGGCTGTGTCACCGGCACACGTCCTCAACCCTGGCAAAACCAACTTTCTAAATTGGTTGAGACCTGTCTCAGATACTTTGGGTTCACATAAGGAAACAGGAAGCAGGAATCTGGTGTCTCTCTCTTTAAGCACAGTTTAAGTTTTACTGAGTGTAAGAACTCAGTAAGCACAGTTCTAGGCTGCGTTTGTCCTGTGAATCCTTCCCTTCTGGGTCCCCGCAGGTACTGCCACTCTCTCCTCTCTCTCCTGCCTTCTCTTCCTTTATTTTTCCTTTTTTTTTTTTTTTGAGACACAGTCCCACTCTGTCACCCAGGCTGGAGTGCAGTGGCACAATCTTGGCTCACTTCAACCTTCACCTCCTGGCTTGAAGCAATTCTTCTGCCTCAGCCTGCTGAGTAACTGGGACTACAGGCACATGCCACCATGCCTGGCTAATTTTTGTATTTTTAGTAGAGATGGGGTTTCACCATATTGGCCAGGCTGGTCTTGAACTCCTGACCTCGTGATCCACCTGCCTTGGCCTTGGCCTCCCAAAGTGCTGAGATTACAGGCGTGAGCTACCGCGCCTGGCTCCTACCTTTCCTTTCTAGATCCACCCTCCCAGTCTTGGCGTTCCTTAGGGTTTGGTTCTTGGGACTCTTCTCTGTTTATGTGTTCTCCCTAGATAGTATCATCTATAAGTGACTTAAATAGCACTCATAATGCTAAAAAAAAATACATTTCCATTTCTAGCCTAGTTGTCTCTGAATTTCAGAATAAGGTAAATGAAGAATTCACCTTTTTACACCTTAAGTTTGAAATGCCGGTGATTTATTGTTGGAAATAGATGCCTGGTGCCGCAAAGAAAAATTAGTACTAAGACTTTAAAGGATCTTTCAGCAACGCAACTTTTACTTCCTGGACTGCAGGAAGGGTACCCTCGCCAGCCATCGTGCCACAAGAGAACAATGAACAAAAGAAAACACACAAACGTATCCCTTACACATTTGGGGTCATCCTTACTGCTGTGTCTGATCTCCATTGGCTGGAGCCAGACCTCACAATCTAAGCTAAAACCCAACTGGCTAACAGCTTAAAACTTTTCTAAACAGGTAAAAGCAGTGGAGAGCTGGGGCATGCCTGTGAGCACGTCCAGCACAGATATCCTGGTGAAAGTAAAGGAACACAGAATGTACCACGTGCCTGTAGGCACGGCGTGTCTAACAGCGACATAGGATAGGGCTTCACAAAGATAACAAGAAAGGAAACTTTAAGAAGGAACTTTTCTACTCCCCACATTTATCCAGCAGCCCTCCTGGTTTTTCACTTGGCTGTATCAGCATCTCATTTAACTCAATGTTCTACTCACTCTCCTCAACTTGCTCCCTGCTCCATCTCAGCCAGTGGTGCCACCAGAACCCAGTTTCCTGAGCTAAGTGCCTTCCTTGACACCTTCCTCTCCCACACTGCCTCACCTGACCTGTTACCAGTCCTGTCACGTATGGTTTTTTTTTTTTTTTTTGAGACAGAGTCTTGCTCTGTTGCCCAGCCTGGAGTGCAGTGGTGCAATCTCGGCTCACCACAACCTCTGCCTCTCGGGTTCAAGCGATTCTCCTGCCTCAGCCTCCCAAGTAGTTGGGATTACAGGTGTGCACCACCATGCTAGCTAATTTTTGTATTTTCAGTAGAGACGGGGTTTCACCATATTGGCCAGGCTGGTCTCAAACTCCTGACCTTGTGATCCGCCCGCCTCAGCTTCCCAAGATGCTGGGATTACAGGCCTCAGCCACTGCCCGGCCTTGTGACCTACTATCTACCAGAACTTCTGGCAAATACTCACTGTGTCTCAATTGTCTCATCTATAAAATTCAATGAATGACACTATTACCTACTTCTCAGACCAGATGGGAGAATGCCTGTGAAGCAGGTGGGTGGTGCCTGTCACACCCAGGTGTTTATTGCCCACCCCTGCCTCCTCAACCCCGCCACAGTTCACACCCGCCACTCCTGAGCTCCACACACCGCCTTCCTCCCAGGCCCTCACGAAGGCCTGGGAGGAACTCATGAAGCCACTCATGAAGAACTCATGAAGCCACCCGGAATCCCTCTGCTTTGCCTGGCTCATTCCATCTCAATTTCAGATCTTTGCTTCAGGTCAGCTCCAAGGAGGCCATCCTTGCCCATCTTCCTAAAATAGAGCTCTCAAAACCTAGCTCTTTTCCTTCACGGCGCTGGCCTCCAATTGTAAGTAGGTATTTATCTGTTTATACGTGTCTCTATCGCTATAAACTTCGGAAGGGGAGAATTTCTTGTTTTGGTTCACTGACAAAAAAAAAGAATGCTCGGTATTTACTAAGCATTCAATAAATAGTTGTTGAGGGAGAAAAGAATGAGTGAATGAATAGGTGAAGTGTGGGAAGCTCCTGAGGAAGCAGCTCTCTACCTAGCGGCCAAAGCCACTGAGTAAACAGCGTGCGTACCCATCTGTTTTGCCCTCTGTGTGTTTTGCTAGTATGCAGTGTTCTAACTAGAAGTAAATTCTTGTTCGCTCATTAACATAATTTATTTTTTGGAGTCAGTCTGACTGTTACCTAGGCTGGAGTGCCGGGGCGCAATCTTGGCTCATTGCAGCCTCTGCCTCCCAGGTTCAAGCAATTCTCCTGCCTCAGCCTCTGGAATAGCTGGGATTACAGGCACCTGCCACCATGTCCGGCTAACTTTTTGTATTTTTAGTAGAGACAGAGTTGCATCCTGTTGCCCAAGCTGGCTGGTCTTGAACTTCTGACCTCAAGTGATCCACCCACCTCGGCCTCCTAAAGTGCTGGGATTACAGGTGTGCCTGTGCCCGGCCTTTTATGATTAATTAATTAATTAATTTTTTAAAGATGGGGTTTCCCCATGATGGCCAGGCTGGTCTTGAACTGCTGACCTTAGGTGATCCACCCACCTTGGCCTCCCAAAGTGCTAGGATTACAGGCTTGAGCCACCACGCGCGGCCTATTATTATTTATTTTTTAAGGTGTGTGCTTTTATTCAGCTGGTCTCAAGTCGGTGTACTGGTAAGCCCTGGCTGCTTCCACGCACTCCCAGGGAGACCAAAAGCCTTCATACATCTCAAGTTTGGGGGGAAAAAAGGGAGGGGGGCACGAAGGCTGATCATTCAAAATAACAAAAAGTATTCAGGTGAAGATTTAAAAATTTTGCATTACATAATTTACGCGAAAGCAATGCTATCACCTGCCCTGCATTTTTTTTTTTTTTTTTTTAGTGTTTATCTACAAGATAGAGACAGGGATCTCACTATGTTGCCCAGGCTGGTCTCAAACTGGGGCTCCAGGGATCCTCCCGCGTGGGCTTCCCAGCATGAGCCACGGCACCCGGCCCGGCCCATTAATAGAATCGGATGGCCTTGCACTTTCTCAGTCGGGGGTATTTAGTACTCACCTCCACATCGCGGTGGGGGAGCTGCATTGCATTCTCCCGAGTGACAAAGGGGGCTGGGGAGCAGGGCCTGACGCCCCTACACTCCCCGCAGAGGGGATTGCTGCAGTTGTGGTTTCTCCAAGTGTCCGGCAGAGGGCGCTGCGGACACGCGGCTGCAGCCGCCGGCCAGGGGAGAGCGGGTGACGTTCCCATGACCGCAGTGAGAGGCACAGCGCATTACTAGGACGCTTTCCAGCGGCTGGGTGGCTTCAGAGCCCGGTAAAGTGCATGGTTTCCAAGTCCCCGCGAGTATGGGGATCTGGAGAGCTTTTGAGAAACACGGATTTCTGGGCGGCACTCTCCAATATTCTGGTTCAATAGGAATTGGGCGAGCCCTGGACCCTCTTGATGTTTCCCGTTGATTTTGATGACCAGGAGGTTTGGGGCGCATTGGTGGGAACTCCTCAAGGCCACTGGGAGCCGAAGGAGAGAGGAGGACACAAACCTGCTTTCCACTCCTAACCCTGTTGCTTTTTAGCTGCGCGATCTTTCTGTATACTACCCCCACCACAACTTGTAAAATGGAGCTAATGATAAAGATGGAGCTAGGTCAGGCCCTGTGGCTCAGGCCTATAATCCCACCATTTTGGGAGGCCGAGGCAGGAGGATCAGCTGAGGCCGTGAGTTCAAGACCAGCCTGGCCAACATGGTGAAACCCTGTCCCTATTGAAAATACAGAAATTGGCCATGAGTGTGATGCACCTGTAATCCCAGCTGCTCCGGAGGCCATGACACGAGAAACGCTTGAGCTTGGGAGGTAGAGGCTGCAGTGAGCTGAGATCAAGCCACTGCACTCCAGCCTGAGTAACAGAGTCCAATCCCGTCTCTCAAAAAAAAAAAAGAAAGAAAGAAAATTTGGAATTATCACTGGCTAATTGATTAACTATTGTTTTACAGTGATCTGTGATCCTAGGATCTAGGCACAGTGGATACAGCAGTGAGCAAACGTGCATTCTGCTGGAGAGATACCGACCATCACAGTCACACAAACACACAAGATAATTTCCCGTAGAGTTAAGAGCTTTGGGGAAACCAGAATGCAGGAATGTGATAGAAAGTGGCTGGGAACAGGGAATTGAGGTTGGTGGGCCCGACGTCCTCTCCAAGGAGGTGACATTTGAGCAGTGATTTGGACAGTGAAAAAGCTCTGACCACACCAAACTCTGGGAGGAAGGCTTCTTGGACACAGGAAACACAAGCCATCAACAGCCCCAAGGAGTGAGTTTGGTGTGTTCAGAGAGCTGGAAGGAGGGAATGCCATGAAAGAGAGGCCAGTAGCATGTGCTGGGCAGAGAGGGAGCCGGCCCCTTGGCCCGTGGAGAGAGAAAGCAGAAACCAAAGCCAGCACCCACTGGAAAGGCTGCATCTGGAGACAGCAGCTACAGGTTGGTCGAGCTGCTGTCAGGCCCTGCCTAGGCCTTGCTGAACACAGGGAGCTACTTTCCCTGTCTTTGGGACAAATGTCAGAGGCAGAGAGGACTGGAAGATGGGGGATATAGAAAATAGTTGCATAACTTTAAGAGATGGGTGCCATTTAACTCATTTCACACAGGAGGCACTGAGCAAGGGCAGGCTGAATGATTTCCCCCATCTCGATTTCCTTCCAGCCCTGCTCCTCCCTTGCCTGCATCCATGCCACTCACTTTCCCACATCTGTGCCCCCCCAGCTCTCCTGCATCCGTGTCTCCCAGCTTTCCCGCATCTGTGCCCCCCAGCTTTCCTGCATCCGTGCCTCCCATCTCTCCCGTATCTGTGCCCCCCCAGCTCTCCCACATTCGTGCCCCTCAGCTTTCCTGCATCTGTGCCCCTCCAGCTTTCCCACATCTGTGCCTCCCAGCTTTCCCACATCTGTGCCTCCCAGCGTTCCTGCATCTGTGTCACCCAGCTCTCCTGCATCCGTGCCCCTCCAGCTTTCCCACATCTGTGCCTCCCAGCTTTCCTGCATCCGTGCCCCCCCAGCTTTCCCGCATCCGTGCCCCCCCAGCTTTCCCGCATCCATGCCTCCCAGCTGTCCCTCATTCGTGCCCCCCCAGCTTTCCTGCATTCGTGCCCCCCACCTTTCCTGCACGCGTGCCCCCCCAGCTTTCCCACATCCATCTCCCCCACTTTTCCCGCACGTGTGTCCCCCCAGCTTTCCTGCATCCATGCCCCCCCACCTTTCCCGCACGCATGCCCCCCCCCAGCTTTCCCGTATCCATGCCTCCAAGCTTTCCCGAATCCAGGCCCCCCACTCCCAGCTAGTTGGGAGGCTGAGGTGGGAGGATCTCTTGAGCCTGGGAGGTCGAGTCTGCAGTGAGCCGTGATGGCATCACTGCACTCCAGCCTGGATGACAGAGTGAGATCCTGTCTCAAAAAAGATCACTGACAGGAATCTTGATTGTAGAAGCTTTGTCTGAACCACAAAACAGTTGTTCAGTTGGTGTAATGGAGGAGGATGGCCTCACAGACCAGAAAATAACTAAAGAAGGGAATATCCCAAGTCAGGATGTTGAAATCCGCAGGCCATCCCCACCGGCAGAACCTCTGTGGTCGGTTTCTCCTTCCCACCGTCCCCCAACCTCAGAAGTGTCGCTCCAGCTGCTCCTCCCCTTTTTTTTCTCTGAGTGGAGCCCTCCTAGTTTTCTAGAAATCATGATCTACTTCTTCTTTTCTTGTTTATTTATTTATTTTTGAGATGGAGTCTTGCTCTGTAGCGCAGGCTTGAGTGCAGTGGTGAGATCACTGCAACCTCTGCTTCCTGGGTTCAAGCAATTCTCCTGCCTTAGCCTCCCAAGTAGCTGGGATCACAGACACCCACCACCATGCCCAGCTAATTTTTATTTTTTGTAGAGACAGGGTTTCACCATGTTGGCCAGGCTAGTCTTGAACTCCTGACGTCGTGATCTGCCCGCCTCAGCCTGCCAAAGTGCTGGGATTACAGGCTTGAACCAGTGCGCCCGGCCTCTTGTTCTGTTTTTCCAACTTGTAGCCGCTAGGCTTTTCTTCAGAATCAAATAGGCTATACAGGTGTTTGGCTAGACATCTCCTTCCCCAGGGAATTCTGCCAACAGCTTTTAAATTTCTTTTTTCTACCAATACATATCTGTTCTGGCCAGGGCAACAGGACACCGTACACGTACCTCCTACATTTTATAGTTGCTCTTACAATGGGCGTATGTTTCTCAATCCACCCCTGTCAGTTTGGGGGTCTGTCTGTGACCATATGAGTGACTAATTGTTTGGACATTTTGTTTGCATCCACCATTGTCGAAAATTCAGTTTCGTCGGGTACAGTGGCTCATGCCTGTAATCCCAGCAGTTTGGGAGGCCAAAGTGGGCGGATCACAAGGTCAGGAGTTCAAGACCAGCTTGACCAACATGGTGAAGCCCCGTCTCTACTAAAATACAGAAATTAAATTAGCTGGGTGTGGTGGTGCGTGCCTGTAATCCCAGCTCCTCAGGAGGCTGAGGCAGAAGAATTGCTTGAATCTGGGTGGCAGAGGTTGTGGTGAGCCGAGATCGTGCCACTGCACTCCAGCCTGGGGGACAGAGCGAGACTTCATCTCAAAAAAAAAAAAGAAAGAAAGAAAAGTGAGTTTCATGTGGAGAACACGAGTCTCCTCAGGCTGCCATAACGAAATAACTGAACTGGGTTCAGCCACTGACTGAGTGGCTCCAACAACTGACATTTATTTCTTACTGGAAAGTCGAGGCTGAAGGTGCAGCAGATGTGGTTTCTGGTGAGGATGCTCTAACTTGTCTTGCAGATGGCAGCTTCCTGCTATGTCCTCACACTGCAGAGAGAGACAGAGAGAAAGGATGGGGGGAAGGCAGGAAAGGGGGAGAGAGAACTCTGGTCTCCTTTCCTCTTGGTGTAAAGCCACTAATTCCATCTCTCTTGACCTTATCTTTAATCACTTCCCAAAGCCCCCGTGCCCTGCAACTCCAAATCCCAATGCACTGGGGATCAGGGCTTTGCCCTGTACATTTTGGAGGAACACAATTCGGTCCATAGCAGGTAGCAATAAAAAATACAAGCGGTGCTCTGCACTTGTGGCAGCTGAAGAACCTGAACGCTTGTGCCTGAAGCCTCCTTTCTGCTTCTCTGGCCTTGCCGGCTTCAGGACCAGGGGCTCACGCTGGGCCCAGATCGTCCCTCACAGGGCAGTCAGGAATGTACTTGAAAAGAAGGCTGCAAACACTGTCGTGGAGAAGCAATGATCCAAAGACAACTTTGGGACCCGCTGGCTCAGGGAGACCAGCTCCATGTGGCCATGTGTGCCCAGAGGTGGGAGGTGTGTGTGATGTTCACCGTGTGTGCTTCTGTCAGAGCTGACCTCGAATTTGCCATCTCATTTTTGGAGACTCACAGTTGAATATTTGCGTATCTCTGGAATGGTGTCTTAGTCTGTTTTATGCTACTTTAACAGAAGACCGCAGACTAATTTTTTTTTTTTTTTTGAGGCAGAGTTTCCCTCTGTTGGCAGGCTGGAGTGCAGTGGTGAGACCTTGGTTCACTGCAACCTCCACCTCCCGGTACAAGTGGTTTTCCTGCCTCAGCCTCCCAAGTTAGCTGGGATTACAGGCACGCACCATCACACCCAGCTAATTTTTGTATTTGTAGTAGAGACAGAGTTTCACCATGTTGGCTGGGATGGTCTCGATCTCTTGATCTCATGATCTGCCCACCTTGGCTTCCCAAAG